AGACAAAAGATTACAGTCAATCTCAAAAGTGTTATGTGTAGCAGGGATGAAAAAAATAGCTACTTTTCAATGAGAATACTGTGCAGTAAAGGAAACTTCTTAAAAATCCTGTCACACTAGTACTTCTCATATGAGCAACTTTGAAATGCCGTATTGTACTCCGTTCTTTTCGTGACACCACACCATGCCTGAAGGAACCAGAACTTTTTCATTCACCCCTGCCTTCCACCCTGTTCATCTTCAGCCTATAGCAGTTTTACTCACTGTCAGACAGCACTCATTTTTCGAAGGTATTTCTGGATGCCAAATAAAGTACTTCTGGATGCCGTCTATTAAGCAAAGATCCTGCATTTCTTATGATCCTAATTTCCATTCACCAGCTACTCAACAGACACTTGATCTCAGATAATACTTTTCCGCTCACTTTTCCAGTATCGCATATGCAAACAATATGAGCTTTCATCCTTCCAGATCAATTAGTACATTCCCTATTAGAGATCTTACCCTCCTTCCAACATGATTTATTGATTAAAAATAAATAAAATTGATGGAATGATCAAGCTGTGTAATCTGATGTATTTTTGTTTAAACAGATACATTAAAAAGGTTTCCAGTCTTAAGTGTTTCTGCTGCACAATAGCTTTGACTCAACAGATTGTAAATATTTTTACAGTGAAAACTTACTTTGAAAACAGTTGGAAGTGTTGCATGAAAACTATAATTACTGAGGATTTTTCAGTCTTCCTATGTCAATCTAAGTCCAATTCTGAAGTCTTAACAAAGAAAATTCATACTGTTATAGATTACGTCCAGCATTTATGCTTTTACAGTTTTGTAACAATTCTCAACCAAATTAGTGGGTTATGCTGTCATTACCAAAGTTGACATTGTAGAAACACTACTAATATAGATTTCCAAACTTGCTGATTTTCTGGACAGGAAAACCACGGGCTTTGCAAACAGGACGGCCAATAGCTGCACTATTTCAGATAAAATCACAGTGGAAGTGTGTAATATGCACAGATATCAGATACCCTTTGAAATTCACATTCAGTTTGAATTTGGCCCTTTTCATTATTAATCAAACTTTTTTAGCTTCGTGGGCATTCAGTATGCATGGAAGCCTGTGGTTAATTGATTTCTGAGAGCAGCATCCAGGTTCAAAAACCGGCACCATACTTGGTCCTTACCACTACCATCGTTAGCACACTCTATATCCCGTAATCCTTTCTCTGACATTACAATGTGGGGTTGAGTCGGTTACCAACATATAAACACAGTGCAACTGGAGATGCCTTAGGGTATCATGACCTAGGTTGAGACATCTATATTTAGATATCTACAATGCAAGTTGGCATCTAAATTTTTATTACTGTCAAGAGAGGCTCCACTGACTAATGACAAGATCCATGAATTAATGTATAAGATAGAAACTCAGCTCATATGCAGATAGCTTAACTTTCATTTTACAAGCAGTCTTTAGAAAGATAACTTTTCTTTTTCTCCTGGTCATCCTGATAATCCTCTGAGTGCTGGTTCTGATTTAGAATTAATTTTTCTGAATACTGATGATGTAGGGTTGCATCTACCATTGCTAAATAGTACTGCCAGCTCAGAGCCACATTCATTACTTTTCTATGAGTTTGGTGCTCAAAGTCACCAAAGACCTTCTGTTTGATATTCTGATCTTCCCATGTCAACAAAGTGCTTGATTCATCCTCAGTTTCTAGCATCCTACTTTTAGTATCCTGGTCATTACTAAAGATATAATAAGATAATAGCTCAAAGAATCATTTTCTTTTCAAAACAACAGATTTTTTTTTGTCTTCTGTTCATTCAGTTCCTTAACCATCTTGGATTTTTGTGTTAAACCTGTTTAATTAGTCAGGTGAACTTCAGTAAGTTTATTTGGAAGGCCAAATCTGCATTTCTTTCCTGTATAAATTGTTTTCTTATTAAAATATTATAGCAATTTGGTCTTGCCCAGTGTATATTAGTTAAATCATGTGGCATTTTCTCTCATGTTTATTTGTTGCCTTGGTTATTCTTTTCAGTAAAATGTTGCTAAAAGCCTTACTTGCCACTGATGTTAAACCAAATTGCTTATTGATTCCAAGACCTTAACCTTCATTTCTTTTTGTCAGTGTTATTAGCTATATGAAAATTCTTTTCTGCAAAGCTACTAAATTAACGTACCAGTACTTCTTTCAGAGTCCTAGGATGGACAACATCCATCTCCTTGATGTGATTACAATGAATTTTGCTTGTACTTGAATACAATAAACTCCCAACTGCCACCTTTATCCCTCATCCTGTTCTCTATCCCTTCCTCTATTATCACCTTTATCCCTCACTTTTAATAAATTAATAATTTAGGATTTTTCCTGAATTGTTTGATTATCCTTAACTGTAGAAACTGAAAAAATTTTTGCTATGGAATTTCCTTATTAAAATATGTAGACTAGGCAGGTTGTGCAGTAAGTGTTATGTAAATAAAGAGAGCTGTTCAGGTTCCATCATAACTAGCCTCTGGGATTCTTTCCAAACACACAAAAAAAGAAGAAATGAATGCTAGGCGTTTTACTGGAAGCATTAATTTCTGAGTCAAATAATTCACCAGCAAATGTGTTTGCAATTCCTTTGATTGAATGATTACTCTTTTCCTTATATATAGCAAGTGCTTTTAGCTAAATAGAAATGTATCTGATAATATGCATGAAATTCATTAGATAATCTGCCATGTGCATCTAACTTTCTTTTCCTCCAACCTCAAATTGAAAAACTGTTTTATATGCAGTTTTATATACTTGCACTATGTATAAACTTCTATAATTTGTAAACATTGTAGCAGTGGCCTTCCATTTGTCTAATGCTTACAGCATATTGAGGAAAACTATCACTGTTCTGCAAAGACTATCGTCATACTAAAAATATGGTGTCCTAAAAGCATTAATCGCAGAGAAACTTGAGAGAGAAAATGCAAAAGTCTACTTACATCAAGAGAAGAGGAAGGAAGGTTAGATCATTGTCAGTTCCTAAATAAGATTGTTTCTTCAAAGAGGTAACACATCATAACAAAATTTCAGACCTGTTCATTTTAAAAAAAAAAAAAATCTGATGCAAAGGCATTTGTCTAATATAGTTATATCTTCTATAAAATTAACTCTAGACAAACAATATGACTCAAATACCAATAAGTATTCGTTTAGAGGAAGATGGAAGATACATCATCAGATTGCAGTTGCAAACTAGAGAGTTGACATATCCTTCCTCTGCCCCTATTCACTTTCGAAGCTGTTATTTTCTTCTGTTTCACTGCTGAGAGCAGTGATGGGTTTTACATCTGAAGTGAATAGGAGTACATTTTTCACTAGAATGAAATTCTGTTTTCTCCACTACAATTTTTATAAACTGCAGAGAATAAAACGTAATTTTTCACAAACAGGGTCAGAGATTGTGGGATATTTTTTTCCTAGGAAAAAAAAAAGGTGTTATATAATCCTACATTAGGGATTTGATTTGTACATGTTATTGCATCTGAAGCATTTAGTAAATCACTCCTTGTCTAAATCGAAGGTAACTCAGCCTTGTGTTTTAACACGTTAGACTGAGAAAGGGAATTCCTTCCCTTTTTTGGCTCCTGAGGAGCCCAGCTCAGACCTGTTACTCAGGATGATGAAAGCTGCTTACTCCCTGGTTGAACACTTCTCTCCCAAGAGGAAACCATAGTATTGATCCTTACCTGGTTTTGAAGGATAATTTCAATATGGGATAGCTTCCCAGCAGAAGGAACTCTACTCACAACATTAACCAATAGAAAGGCCTGACTAGAAAGATATGTCTTAAAATCCAGTCATCACTGGGACAGAGTCACCCAGCTACTTAGACTTAGATGCTTTCTCTAAGAGACAGAGGTCTTACCTGACTTTCAAAACGAACAAAAAGGAAGCACCTCCTTCGTATTCTCCTCTACTTCTATATGATATCCTAAAGCACTTGGCAAGTAATAACTGCTGTCTGTGTCCATGTCTGCCTGAGGGCTTGAAACCCCCTTCTCCCACGTCCTTCAAGAGATCCCGAACCACCCCGCAAACTGGTACTGGAAGAGCAGTATCTGCAAGCAGGGCTTGGCTTAAAATGCTCCATATTAGGCATCATATCTCAAGTAGGCTTGCAATGCCTTTCTGTTCAGGATGGAAGTAATGATTATTTACTTGTTTTCTCAGGCTGCAACTTTACTGTATAATAAATTTTGGAGCTTTACTATTTTAGAACAGCAGAAGTTTCACCTCTACGAAGCTTCATGGACTTTGTGACTGATAAAGTGTAAACAAAGCCAAAGTTTCAAACTCTTAAACGTAAATGGCTGAACAGTATTTTTCATGAGTACTCATCTAGAGATGTAGTGGAACTGGAATCATACAGGACTCAAGGAAAAAAATATGAGCTGAGCTACAGAAAAAGTAGAAATTATTTAAATCTCTATGCTACACTGTGTATGGTAATGCCATAAATCATATTTAGACTAGATAGATACAATTCATTTTAGGCTTTTTTCCAGTCCTCTTTTACATTTTACTTCTTTTTCCTCTCAGGTTTGATTTTTAAGCTCATTTTTGTTCTAAGTGGAATAACTTCTGCTTGATATGGAAATGTGATTTCACAATAATATAGTAGTGAAACTTTAAAGACAAATTAGGAAGAATTATCTTTTTTACTTTTTACAAAAGGTTCATTAAAATTCAGCACTGATAAGTGTCAAAGGATACTAATCCACTGATCCCTCCCTGAGACTTTTTGAATTAAGGAAAGAGAAGAAGTAAAATGGTTTTATTATAGCCCTTTTGAAACAGAGGAGAATTCAATTATCATCTTCATCATCTCTAGTTACACAGGCTGTAGTCCTTAATCCTATTTATTAGCTTTAAAAGATAACACCATGGAATTTGGCTGCTATTCTTGCAGATATATTTATATATTTATATATCTATCATTTTCAGGATAACTATTCTTCCATATGGGAGCCTGCGAATCCTGAATGCTTCCAAATCTGATGAAGGACAATATTTATGTCAAGGTGAAAATGTATTTGGGTCTGCAGAAATTGTTGCATCAGTATCTGTAAAAGGTATGCAAAAAATATTTTGATGATAATAATGATTATTGATTGCGAATATTTCATTACTATTTAGAAACCCCAGAAGAATACAACAGCATTGTACGGACACAATATAAAAGCAGTTCCAACAAGCTAGCAGGCTAACCTCTGGTAATCAAATTTTGTTTTCCTGCATCAAATTGCATACTCCAGCTGTTTTATCATAGATATATATTAGAAAAATTAGTATATACATTAATCAGATAATTCTATCTGTAAAAGAAAAAGAGAGAGACAGGGAAAAATTTAGATTGATATTCCTTTTAGCATATTTTAGCTTTGGGATCTCTCTTACTCCTTTGTACATGGGAACAAAGTTTAGAAATAAAGCAATTGTATTGCTACAAATTCTAAGATGAAATAAACAGCTTAGTCCCTTAGAACAGTACTTGTATTTAAATCACTGAATTACTTTTAATTTCTAAGTGAAATATTATCCAGGTGAATTATTATATGATCATTGGTTTTAGTTTTAGGTGTTTAAGTGTTCTAGCTTCATTTCTTAAGTATTTTACTGTATCAAATAAACCTGTAAATTTCATTTTTTTTTGTTTTTTGTTTTGTTAAGGGACAGTGCTGAGATTTTCATGTAATCACAAGATTTCAGGTGCTAAAGACTTAAAAAAAATTGATAGCTTTCTCTGAGACTAATAAAATTAATTAACTAAACCTTTCCAGAATTCCTACCGTTTATTGTTTAAGATCCTACCGTATAGCTTCCATGAAATAGATTGTACCCCCTGTTGCAACTGTCATGTTTCAGTGTCCGTTATGAGCCTAGTTCAGCTTTTAACACTACATATTACAGTCTAAACTATAAATATTAGGTCTGAGTAAACTAAGCAGAGCTCAATCACAGGTTATATTGACAATGTAGCATGACAAGGCCTCCATTTAAATGTTGCTAATTCTTCTATACTTTCAAGAACCTACAAGAATAGAGCTGACTCCCAAGAAGACAGAGCTAACGGTTGGAGAAAGCATTGTCCTCAGTTGCAAAGCCATTCATGACAAGACTCTAGATGTCACCTTCTATTGGACACTCAATGGGCAGCCAATTGATTTTGAAAAGCAAGGTGGACACTTTGAAAGCATCAAGGCAGTAAGTAACCATGCATTTGTCACCTGTGTGCTGCAGAGTTATAAGAATCTGCATGCTTTTACATCTCTCTCCAATGTACAACATTTTTACCTAATTGAAAGATGACTAATTTCACTAACATTAAAATGAAATGTTAGCTAAAGGAGGTATCATTGGCAGGTTACCAGGATTAATTCCAGCAGCTTTAATAAAGGTAAAATTCTACATCCTATTAATACTAGTGAGGTATCTGGTGATAGTTGTGTGGGAACAGAAAGTAGTTTGAGACTAATCCCCTTTATGTTCTTCTACTGATGTTAACATATCTTATAGAAGGATGCTGCTCCAGCCATTGCTGTCTTTTTCACAGATAACATGGCTGTTAGAATGTCCTTACCTCTAAATGCTCTGACTTGCCCAGCACATATGTTAATATTTGAATAGCAAGGAGTGCACTTTATTTTCCAAAAGCCTTTCATGAGGTAGGTTGTAGCTGTGTAGTTGTTATTAAAGTTAACGAAAATCATGTGGCCAAAACGTGCTTACCAATTTCAAATATTACCCCTTGGTTCAAAAACAATTTGGTGTGGTCAAACAGCATGATGAACTGATTCAAATTTGTCCCAAATAAAGAGGTTTGAACCTTTCTGAGCAGAAAGAAATCTTTTTATGTAAATGAGTTTGGAAATAGAATCTACAGTCATTTAACTCAATCTTCCCATTAATGAAAAGTAAATCAAACAACCGTGCTATGTTAATAGAGAAAAAATGAAGCTCACAAAGACTGGGAAATTTTAAAAGTTAATATTTCTAATTTGAGTACAATGTAGAAAGGTTAACTTTGCGTTAAAAATCTTGTCAGTTGAAATCAATTTATTCTTCTGCTTGTTTTTTTATATAATACATGCCATACTCATTTTGTTGGGGTTTATTTTTAGTGATTTCAATAAGTGTTTTAATGGAAGAACGTTATCAAGGTGTTTTTTGGTGTGAAAGTTCTTAGCATTCTTATCTTTATTGGAGGAAGGCCAATATTCTAAATGCAATACTGAATATATAGGAAGGGAAACAAACACTTTTTTAAAAAACTTGAAGGTTTTTTTGAAAAATACGTATGAGGAATGTGAATTTTTTCCAGATGTTGTGAGTATTGTAAATATTTCATTTTCTATAAAAAATATATCCACTAATCTTATCCTACTCTAGAAAGCTCCAGCTTTCTAGAAGTTGTACTGAAATTGAAAAGTCAGCTACAAGAGTTCTTTTCTGAAAGTTATAAACAACAGAAACTTCTCAGCTGTTGATTTCACTGCCCATAAATTATTGTATCAATGGACCTGTCTGAGGTTTGAAATCATTACATACTACATTTAAAGTTCGAATTCTTTTAAAAATCTGAAGTCTGAAATTACAAGGTTCCTGCAGGGGATTTCAGCATCTTCTGTGCTGAATGGAATTTTAATCACTGAGAAAAATCCTTGGGCTAGGGAATTGCCAAAGTCAAACTCTAACAAAGTAAAACAATAAAATAATTTCATTTGTTATACAAAAATATAATTTTTTAGACTTTTTAATAAGGATTCGGCCATGATTTCATTTCTACCAGAGGAAAACCTCTAACTCCTAGAAAGTGTATACCTAGAGGATGACAGGCTGGTCCTATTTTCAGAAAAGATATTTGTAAAAAACTCATTGAATTAATTCCAGCAAAACAGACCATAGGCTTTCTCCTCTGCTGTGTCCAATACCACAAATAAGCATACATTCAAGGGATCATAAAGATTTATTTTCATGACAAAGATTTATTTGTTTGTTCCTTTCATTAGTCTGATATGACTAAAATGTTACCATAGTCTAGTAGATTTACCTAGCTTGTTAAAGAGAAGTCGCTGCTACTCTGCTAAGTGGCAAGAGGCATACATCAGTCACAGTGGAGTCAATGCTGACTCCTTCAATGACTAACTGGGTAAAAAAAATAGGTTATTTGTCAAGTAAAAATCTGATGTCTTTCTCTTCAGAGCCATACAATTATTTTTTTTTCTTTAAATACACCTTTTTACAAACAGCAAACTTCAATTGCTTAGGAAAGACAATCAGGCTGGGGAGAAAGCATGCATGTTTTTCAAAATATTGCAAAATTATGGCCTACTTTATTATTAAACCAGTGTTTAAATAATGAAATTCTATACAACTCTAAATAAATACCAAAATGATGTGTCAGAACCTGCCTTTACAAGACTGCTCACACAAGTGAGCAAGCTGACACGCATTGTCAGGGAATGCTTCATTTGCTTGCATTCCTAGCTTATTTAAACGTCAAAACATTTCTTTTCTGTTTTTCACTCGATGGAGAGAATAGAAAGGTAAACTTAGATGAACCAAAAATATCTACTGGCATGTTACTGGCATGATGGGGGCAGGGGGAGAAGGGATGCAAAACATTCCTTTCCAGAACAGAAATATCAAAAAACCTTACCCTATTAGGTTAAACTTCATTGAACGCTATTGGAAACATAATCTGACTCATCCCTCTCCCTTCTGAAAGTAGTAGTTGAAATGTAAGCAGATCTCCATCCACCAGAAGGCATGTCTTCATTCTTCAGTCTGAAATGAAGCTATACTATCAGTTGAGGGAGCCAAAACTCCAAAGTAGCAGTTTTGGAAGGAAATATAGTACATTTTCTGTATTTTGACCGCCAGTTAGGGGAAAAAGCCCATAATAATTCCCATAACTATTCATTTATGGAACCTTGTCAGTCACATCTCATTATCTTGTCAACCGAATAAGCATGTGAAATTAATCAAAAAGATGAAAATATATTTCTTTGCTTCATTAAAATCTAAAGCATGACCTAGTCCTAGATGAAATGAAGACAAAAGAAACCTCTTCTGTTTAACCTATCTAGTAGTCTCCTTTAACTTTCCATCCTTCAAGGAGGGATACAGAACGTGATAAAGACACAAGCTTTGGAACACAAATAAGGAACTTTGAGAAAACCAAAAATCTGATCAGGTTCATATCCATTATTTCTCATTTCTGAGAGAAATATTTTAAATTGTATGAGTTGATGGTGAACAGCATACTATTTAACTCAGTATGTTTAAGAAAAATATCTTCTGTGTAGATGCTGTTATGTAATTATGCATCCATTTTATGCTGCACACACTGATACTTCATCAGATTAAAAGTTGTTTAGGTTTATCTTTTTTTTTTTTTTTGAAGCCTGACAAATTGAACATTACCTGAATGGGTTTTGTTAATAACAAAACCATTGTCAACCCCTCAGCGCTGGTTGCATTGCTCATATTTTCGCTATGACAGATCCAGGTGTTAAACATAACAAACATTCTGATGCTTAAAGTAATGTTCTAAAAGCTGTCACCTAAGTAAGATTTATTTGAGCTTTAGGTAGATTACCACTTGTGAAAATTGCTTTTTCCCTAGTAATTACAATTAAAATGAGAAGGAAAAGCTTCTCTCAACAATACATATTGCTTTGCTTGTTTATAAATTACATCTTTAGCTTTTGTACCTGCCAAACAACAGTGTTATCATTTCTCACACTGAGATCGAATATTTTTTTCGAATTGGAGGTGCTTTTGCTACTGTTTACTGAACTAAGACCAAACTCCACTGAAGTGACAGTTGCTTTCTGGGAAAAGAAAACATCCCGAATCTCTCATATCCAAAGCTCCATAAGACACTTGGTAGCAGAATAATTGTCCAAAGGGATATATACAGCCAGCATCCTTTGGCATTAGAAAAACCTTTGTTTACCAGAAGACTTGATAGCATTTTAGGGTCTGTGTGGGCTAATCTGTGTAATGCAAAGAGGCAACATTGCATGGAAGTCTGAATTGCCAAAATTTCTTTCTGGCGACACCCCTGAGTACTAGAGCACAGAGGGTGCTTGTTCCAATTAAGATAACTTTGACTTTCTTTTCTACTCCTTTGTGTCTAATACAAAAGTCTTATTCAAAATTTTATTCAGAATTTTCTCTTTCCATTTCTCTGTTGACATTATTGTTTATATTATCCTGTAGGTACTCTTGGCACTGGTCCCTTTTCTAGATAATGACTGCTGATTTTGCATATATCTTTTAATCAACATATTTTAATTTTAATCAACATATCTCCACTCCAGTTCTGTGTTTGAAAGCTGATGGTGCTTTTATGGTAGGGAAATAAAACGATTTTTTATGGCTATCCACACATTGGTAAGCAGTAATGCTCTCGTAGCTTCCCTCACCCTTGACCTGCACGAGTCTCTTTCAGACTCAGGAAAGTAATTTAGTGTCAGTATCTTTTTTTGGTCTTTGGTCTTAACTGAAACTGCCAACAGGGGAAGTTGTTGACAAATTGTCATGTTATGTTTTACAGTGGTAATTTGTTCACAAGGAATTGAATTAAAATCTACTGATTCTTTTAAAAAAAGCTGGTAGATTCACATTGAACAGCCCATTAACTACTGTCAGTCACTAGTGACTTTAATCTAATTGCCTAGAAAGCAGAGAAAACATAAATTTGCACCTTCCTCTGCATTTTCAAGTCTCTTCTTAGTAGGACTTTAATCATATTTTAGAAGTTAAGATTCAGATTTTGTTAGTATTTTATAAATGAGTGGCACTAAGTTCTACATTACATGGAATCAATTAAAACAGCCGGCTCTTAGTAGTAATATCTCTCCTCTTAATTTGACATAAAACTAAACAAGGCTAATTAAATAGGGTTTTATTTCAAATTCCCGTTCCCAGTCCAACGATATTTTGACAGCAATATGGGTTCAAAAATCTTGCAGAAGAGGTGTGCTTTATGCACAGAGGATTGAAATTCGGGGTAATACTGCCGTTATCAACCTCACTCCTATCAATTTGTTTCATTGTTCATCGAGACACTTTTCTAGTGATGGAAAAGGAGGAGCATAGCGATTAAGATCAACGCAGATCTCCAAGTATTTCAGCCTTGTTCTCATTTCCATTTGTCACTACACAGAAATTAAATATTTGAGTGATGTGAAACA